TGGTCAAACGTACGTTTTTTGTTTTAAAATTTAAATCAGTTTCTGTTGTCGTCAAGTAACGCTTGTCTACGCTTACTGTGTTAGCTAATTTCGAATTTGCAAAAAGTGACTATATGTTTACGCGCAAAAAGTGTTTTGTGTGATATATTGTATACATTAATTGTTTAATAGTTTTGTAATATACCGATAAAACCGATTTGATTTGTAAATATCTTTTGTTCTAATATTGTATAATGTAAATAATGAAAACTTGTAAATAAAATGAACTTTTAAATACACCCGTAACATTTATCAACCAGTCCTAAGCCTGGAAAAAGTATGAAGGGAAGTTCGCTTTATTATTTTGTAAACAAACATATGGTGAAGTCGTTACGTACACTGGCAGATTTTTTTGAAAAACTGGTTTTTTTTTTTACTTTTTCTCAGAAATGTTTCTCATTTAAAAAAAACGCTTTCGTGTCGTTTTACAAAAAACCTAGAACGACCCAGTACTACAACACTAGAGACGACGTAGCTTTGAAACTAATAACAATTTTAAATAAACACATATCTATCTCACTTACACAAGTTGCGAAAGTCGCTAAGATTAGATAAAGATAGACACAAAAAACATGCAATGGCGGGTTGGTGTGGCTTACTATATGAAATTTTGCCTAAAATACGCAATAATAATGATTTTTAAGCTGCAGTTAATTGTTTTTATATTTAAGAAGTATATTTTATTTTAAAATCTTTATTGGGTCCACTTAGAAAAAAGGATACAAAGCTCATCAGATGAATAGAAGTAAACATAATAATGATGAAATAAAAAGTATTTTTATCCTACTAATATATCAAACAATATAAAATAGGTAATAAAATATATTTAATAGATCATTCATGAATAAACTAAAATAAGAATAATTAATTATTTTGTATGAAAGTTAAAACGTAGTTTTTATTATAATTTCCAAAATATTTAAAATCAGAGGTATTTGTTATAAGTCTTCCATTTGTAGGATTATCATGCGGAAAAGTGGCAACATTGAACCTAAATGACAATATTCGATAATTTTATTTAATTATTTGAGGTTTTTTACGTTTATATGAAAACAAGATCTAAAAATTATATGTTGAAAGTGATTCCACTTGATTTATTACATTTTTTTGACCTTGAATAGCATTGTTTCACTACGCATTTACGCATTTTTTTCGCGGCTCAACTCTGTCGGCGTCACAAACACTGAACTGACGTTAGCTGGGCATATGGCTGTGGCCATATGTACAGTGGCAACGCTTTGGCGCGGTTATTACTGATCTAGTGTAGTATATAAATCAATGGCATACACCTAATCCGTCATCCGCCGAAGTTTTCTCAGGCGATGACGGTGGAACTCGGACGATCGAATCAAACACTTGTAAAACAAAGAGAGTGCATATACAAAAATATGAGTGATTGAGTGTTTTTGTTAATTTTTTTTTTTTTTGTTTTGTGTTATATGGATATTGAAATTTGAAGATTCAAAAAGTTTTGGTGTAATTAGGAAGATTTTTTTGGCGCTGATTGATTGTTGACAACTATTCAGAAATCAGACGGCCATTTTAAATTGAATCGTAGCGACGCTCGTTAGTTAGTTTTAACTATGGCTGCACAAGCACGTGTTTAAAATTCCTTCTAATAAATTTTTTTTGAAGAAAATTTTTTAAGAGTCATTTTATGGACGGATGAGTCCAAACTTGACCAATGTGGTATTACAAACTACGATAATCTTCATTACTGGGCACTGAAAGTGGAAAAAAATCCTAAAAAAACTTAAAGAAATAGCGTCACAGTGCAGATTTTCTTAGAACGTGTGGATGGGTATTGTAAATAACAAACTTATTGTATCGTATTTTATGCCACAAAATTTAAACGGGGAAATTTAAGAACATTTTAATCAATTATTTGGAAAACTTATTAGTTGATTTTCCAGGAGAAATAAAAAGGAATTTGATTTATCAGAGTGACTAAATAGCCAACACCGAAACGGGTGGATTGGGAGGGGTGGGCAAATTCCGTGGCTGAAGTCCTGATCTGACTTCACTAGACTTCTACGCGTGAAAAACTTCAAAGGCGTAACTTAAATGCGGCTTAGCAGATTACGGCTACAATATCTTCAAAATAAAAACGAAAACTGAAGTTAGGAAAAGAATCAGGACGTGTATCCGCAACCAAAGGTCTAATACTGAGCAAGATGTTGAATCTTTAAAAAAAAATAGTAAAAAAAATATTTTAAGTTTAGAAATGACCACATTAGTTTCATTGACTGGATACGTTATGAATAAATGTCTTCACTGGGATATTATTACCTTTTTGGATAGCAGATTATTTAAGCACCTTTTTTAAATCGGTCGCGATCGGGGCAGTATTGAATTTAGCGAGACAAGCGAAGCTTCGGAGCGAAATAAAGTGAATCAGTGTGATTAATTATTAGTGTTTTAAGTTTTAATTGGTGTTTGGCAATAAAAGTGTAGTAAAGTAAAGTAAAGTTACAACCTATATACGTCCCACTGCTGGGTACAGGCCTCCCCTCATTTCTGAGAGGGTTTTAAGGCAAGGAAATGTCCGCCGCGCTGCCCTAATGCGTGTTGGCGAACTTCACATGTCTTCGAAATAATTTTTTTTCTTATTCCTCAGACATGCAGGTTTCCTCACGATGTTTTCCTTCACCGCCGAGCACGTGGTAAATCAGCACTTAAAATCGCAATTAACAATTTCATTGGTGCCGGCGGGGATCGAACCCGGGTTACTCGCGTTCTGTTATATTTACAGCGAGCGTTAACCATCTGAGCTACCACGGCTCAATAAAAGTGTAAATTTTGGTAATTCAATCGGCAGTTTTTATCGTCACGAACCTCAAGCTCGTAACAATATTATTATTTTAAAGGTGACCCTTTAAAGGGGGAAATTTTACTGCCATAATTGGTTATTCTCAAATTGAAATATTTAAGCATTTTTAACCTCAATTTTATTGCCAAATCAGATTTCCTCTAAACCCTTCCTTTCATTCGTTTCGCGACCGGCACTGACCTTTCGGATTTGCACGCACGTCAATCAGTATCTAAAACGCTTCAAATCGCACGCTAGCAGTCAGTGCATACTGCGCCTTCCGCTCGCATAACACCGTCTCGCCGCAGTCATCGCAACTTAGGGACGATTCGCAACAGGTTAAACTCATTATAAACTTAAAATCACAGCCGCGAACTGTGTTAAAATTACTACCTACATACGTTTTTCTATTTATAATAATTCTCCACTTGATACAAACTTTCGGGTAAAAATTCATACTTCTAGTAATGCTAATAACTGTTCATGTAGTCCAATTACATAAGTTATAAAAACCAAATACCTAGGCGTAATGGTAGATCAACGGCTCACTTGGTATAGATATTTAGAGTGAGAATTCGAAAGCTCATGTGGATATTAAAATCACAGAGAAGACACATAAAGAGGCGCCTTTTTAATCAAATTAATAATTCACGGGTACAACCTGTAAATGTGTATTTGATACCTATATGGGTTGGGACCGCGAAAACCAAAATTATGGAGTTGGAAAGACTCCAAAGATCCATGCTAAAAGCTATGTTTTTTAAAATTTATAAATATCTAACGGAATATTTGTATTCAATTCGTTACAACCTAACAGTGAGAAAATTGTAAATATTGGATAAAATCTTAAAAATTATTAATAATATATTGGATAAAATAAGGTTTTAACCTTACCATATGAACCAATTTTACTATTAAAAGGAGAAAAAATATAGTTGCTCCTGTTTCTACAGCGAACTCAATTTTTGCTAGACGACAATATAATACAATTCCTGCTTATTAATGCAATTAAGTTAATAAACACATTAATATATATTCACAAAATAAGTACAAATGTAAAATATTATTGACAAACTGGCTAATAGCACAAAGTTATGATGATACTGAAGCTCTTTTCACAGCAGCAGATAAACTCTAGTTAAGGTAGTGGCATATTTATATACATACACACACATCTACACCCTCTCTCTCACACACACACATACGCACAAACACACACACACGCACGCACACACACACACGCACATACACACACACACGCTCGCACGCACGCACGCACGTCTCGCACGCACGCACGCACGCACGCACGCACGCATCGCACGCACGCACGTACGCACGCACGCACGTACGCACGCACGCACGTACGCACGCACGCACGCACGCACGTACGCTCGCACGCACGCACGCACGCACGCACATCGCACGCACGCACGCACGCACGCACGCACGTGAGTGTATTTATAGTTTAATTTAATCATTTTGTCTTTTTTTGTCGTTTCTGTCAGTGTTGTTATCTACCTGAACGACTATGGATATTGAAAATATAAAAATAGAAAAGAATACCGGCAACGTGCAATGTCGGCACAAGTAGTACACTGTTGCAGTGTAAGCACATATACGTCCGAGTTACTCGTCCGGGTAGTTCTGTCCGCCATCAGCCGACAAAATCGGTTTTGGTGTACACATATTGTTAGGAACGAACTTGCACACTTTTAGCATTAGGCGTCTGATTGATTGTTGACAACTATTCAGAAATCAGACGGCCATTTCAAATTGAGTTAGTTTTAACTATGGCACAAGCACGTGTTTAAAATTCCTTCTGATAATTTTTTTTTGAAGAAAATTTTTTAAGAAACATTCTATGGACGGATGTGTCCAAACTTGTCCGATGTTTGTATGTTGGTATTACAAACTACGATAATCTTCATTACTGGGCACTGAAAGTGAAAAAAAAGTGCACGCGCACGCGCGCACGCACACACACACATCTCTTAACAAAGGTATCTTTTACTAAAAAGAAGATTCCCCACACAGATAAACGTGTAAGAATTGTGTTACTGAAATAAAGCCATTTACACCAAAACATGGACAAGGCGAGGCCGTGACCACACCAAACCAGGCGTCATGCCCACCGCCGTTCTCACCGCCACATTCACCGCTGCACCCACCGCGGCCACCACTGCGCCCGTCGCCGCATCCGCCGCCGGGCCCGTCGCCGCTCCGCCGCCATGCCCACCGCCGCATCCGCCGCCGATCCCACCGGCGCATCCGCTGCCACGCCCGCCGCCGCACCCACCGCCGTGCTCGCCGCCACGCCCACCGCCGCGCCCGCTGTAGTGCCCGCTGCCGTCCTCACTACCGCGCCCGCCGCCGCGCCTCCCACCGTGTCTGCAGCCGCACCCGCCGCTTCACCCCCTATCACGCACCGACAGCGTATCAACGCGCACGGACCCAGAGCTTGCCGAGCTGTCGAAGCTTGCATCACACGTTTGCTGTCTATTCACATTTCGTCTGCCTGACATATTTTAATTTCTTTCTCCAGAGTCAATTTTTCTGTTCGTAACAACCGGTCCCTACCAATTGTACTCTTTATACCGCAAACAATACGGTCACGAATCCATCTGATCCAATCAGATCAATAAGCAAACTCACCTGTATAATTCCCTCTTCTTACGCACCCCCACTACTTTAAGAAAAATATTGATTTGCACCTGCACAATTCATTAATAAGACGGGCTGTGCTATGCTATCTAAACTCAATTCGCTTGACGCTTGCATGCTTTATCTTTACACATAACACAACAATTTAGTAATGTTACACACAAATCAACTTTATTTAAACGTAAAACACAAAACTGTTAAGTACTATTTAATAAAAGTATAATTTAATGTGTTGTGGCACCAGTTGTAATAAATGAATTCTGATATAAAACGTCTCGACTGCGTTCGTACATGGTGTATAAGGAAGAAATATTGTTGTTGCTAATTTTAAAGTTTGTTGCAATACAGATGGAAGAAACGCACGTATTGTTGAATAAAGTAACGTACCACCTGACACCGATTGGTTGTCCAGTAATGTTTGAGCTGGATATATTCCATAAGCAAGTCATCCTCTGCAAGACCACCTTTTCGCCGCTAGATGTATTTACACTCGACAGATCTCTATTTGCTACGGTAAATTCCTTAAAAGTTATATTTTGTTACTATATTTTATTTATTTATTCTTAACTGTCTAATTTTTTATGGTCGTAAATGCGCACTGCTGATCATGTTGTCCTGGTCTCCGGTAAATCCAAAAACAGTTATTGGGTTTTTCTATCAAGAAATTCTCAATAGCAGCCCAAAGTAAGAAAGTTAGAGGTGTTTCACCCCCGTGCCCGGAAAGCACTTAAAGCCGTTAGCCCTGCAACTGATTTCTCTATGAGGTAATAAAGTGTGCGCTTTAACTTGATCATACACTCGTGTACTTGTCCTGCACAGATGGCTGGCCTCCGATGAACTGAAGTTCGGTTTAGAGGATATATATATGTAAAGAGGAAAAAATCTTGAGGAAGTTTAAAAGCAAGCATGTATACGAAATATTTTGGGGTCATGTTAGCTGCACCAACAGGCGGACTATTGGCTCTATAACACAAGTCCTCAATCTACACAGCAAAAACCAGAAGTACCTGCGCGAACATGCGATTCTCACACATAATAACGTTAAGAATTCCGTCATTAATTAAACTTCAGTGAAGTCTATATAACCATCTGGTTTACACTAGATGTAAAATACACAGATCTGCGACTACGATTGGTAACAAAGGTGCGATGCATCTCGAGCCGTGAGGCCTCTACATGCGCCACAGCTGAGCGAATGCCTATCTTCCCACCTTCCATCGTGTTCATATTTTTGCTTTTTTAATTTTTTTACTATATTTTTTTTTAGAATAAGGGCGACTGTATGGTTACACCACACATTTTTATTTAGTAAACGTTGCAACCTACTTTAGCCGGGCGTCGCGTGTATTTAAATTTACCTTTTTAATTGCAAGCTGACGATCGGCAGTACGTCAACAACCGTCCTTCTAAACACCAACTACTAAAGGAAAGATTTGCCACTCTTTATAATTATTTTATAATTATTTTACTTTTAATGAAACTTTTAACTTTGAGGATCTTTTCCTTTTGACGTGCTCATCAACTTACTACAACTCTACTTCTTAAAAGTGTGTGACCTTACAAACCATACAGCGACAAACGAGCAAACAGTCCACTTGATAGAAAGTAAATGTTGTAGCCCATAGACATTTATACCTATCTTTGATTAAGAATCCAAATGTAGGTGCTTTGTCACCCCTGATTGCTATTATAGAATGCCTAATTACCAGTAAAAAAGGTCTATACACTCACCGTACGAAATACAAAGCTGCTATATTACGCTGGTAAAAAAGTTAAGTTAAACTTCAAACCTAAAATGCCGCCCCATTTGTCACCCAGGGCAGTTACACGTCCAGCGTAGTTAACCGTCTGCCTTGCGTAGAGAATACAGCAAATTTTTCTTACCTTTAAAAGACCCAAATCCAGCACTGAATGATTATAATGAATGTAAAGTAACAGAATCACTGCGCTTATTTTGATAATTTTTTTCAAAGAATTTTTTCACTTTTCAGGTAATTACTACCTTAGTTACATTTATTGTCTTTATCAAACAGTACAGCATCATAGACGAGTGTAAATAATTTCAAGAGACCCAGTTAAAGAAGACGGTTTCTTATGTTATGAGGATTGGGCCTACCATAAATTGTGGTGTATAGTAATGAAACATATATTGTCTTTTTTTAAAGGAATACTAGTAATTTTATTACTAATATTTCCATTAATCGTTCGTATGCTTGAAAAATATGTATATCATAAGTATGCTTGAAAAATATATGCTAGAAGTGGTTGAATGGTCGATTTGAACCCACCCACAACCCACACACTTCCTGGCAGAGAGCAGATTTTTTGGAGGATTCAGTCACATAAATATAGGTTAATGGCTGCTATTTCTTTTGATACTGCCTAACTGTTCTTACTTTAGAACGGTCGGGTAGCTTTCAGTACATTGCCGACTTTTATATCAAACCATTTGGACTACTGATGTCGATAAAGCAGGCTGCCTGCCACTCAGCTCATTATCCTCTGACTCTATTTTATTACATATTACTAATTTCACAGTGAATATCTTCTATCATAATTAATTAAGCTCTCAGGAACAGCGTAGCTTGTATCAGTTAAAGAATACTCAGAACCTGATCAGCAGTTTTTTATATTTTTTATTTGAGAGGGGGCAAACCGGCACTTGGCTCACCTGATGGTAAGTGACTAGGTACTACCGCCCATGAACAATGCAACACCAGGAGAATTGCGAATGCGTTGCCGCCCTTTTAAAGATATAGCAGTTCCAGAGATGTCTTATAGTAAACTTACAAATAACTCTACTTATTAATAATAAAAGTTTAGACATAGTAATCAATTTTAAATAATTCTCGCACTGTCTAAAACACTTTAAATAATGTATGCCTTAATTGTTGTGTAATATTGTTAATAGTGCTTAATATTCATTGAATAAAGATCCAAGATAATCAGCAAATTATTTTTTATTTTGTGCGGACTCACCTTTTAACAATTATTAAACAATAAATATAATTTGCAGACATTATATACTATTAAGTATTGTGTTTTGACGTTTTGTGTTTGGTTTAGTAGAATCAGAAAGAACGATTGTATTCTGTTATTATCTTTGGATGCCCATTTTATAAAACATATTATTTTAATTTACAAAATATTATCATAATAAAAAATAATGTTGTTACCCACTGGCAAAATATTCTTACCAGAGACAAACGATCGCGATGCTGGTAAGATATGCAAAATTTACTTCTTTGTATGAAGCTGCAGGCGTCATGTGGACTGTAAGCTCCTTTGTTATTTTAAACTGATAATTAAACAATGGATGGGTTTTGTCATTCAAAAATAATCCAATGATTTCCATAAACACGTTTCTATTTGATTTTTACTAATTCTTTAAAATGAGTTTCAAAGTTTAAAAGTGGTTTCATAGGAATGTACTAAAAGGGCATCATATCATTTGAGTTAAATAGATTAATTAAAAATTTGATTGATTATTCAAGTAGTAAACTCGAATGTGTTTATTGTTCAGCAGGATCATTTAATTTTAGAGACCTGCGTACACAGCATGCAGACCAGGATAAGGTAGGTTTGCATCAAATATAATCTTTATTTTCATGAGAATCGCAATAACTATATAATTATATCGCAGCAACTAAAATATATCGCAGTAACTAAAATAGAATTCACTAAGAAATGTTTATTATATAAAACATAAAACTATATAACAGAATAAAAATATTTTGTAACTTTAGCAAAAATTCTCGGTAAGTTCACCCACTAGTAACCCCATATGCTACTATAAAACCCTTGCCTCTCGTTTTAATTCAAAATAAAGATATATTTCTCATACACTATCATCACTATAATAACAGCCTATTTATCTACTGCTGAGCAATAGCCTCCGCCGTAGATTGCCGCATGTTGAGGATAATTGCAATGGTTGCCACGCTTGAAAGATGGACAGGTAACCGCATTTTTTACTATTTTGAATAGTTATCACGAAGTTATTGTCCATCTGCTATAATAATGAGGGATATAGAAGTTATGATTTGATGTGTTGTGCCCACATCACCTAAATAAATTATAATTTAACACGACAAGGAATAGCTATTCGTTTTTCAAAAATTAGCATTGTTTTTCCCATATCAATCTGCAATTGGTCACGGCAAAAAGTATAGCAAGTATATAAAGGGTTACGGCTGTGAGTCGGTCTTCATAAAAAGCTTTGATGATCACCTTGATCAAAGATTAAATTTAACATTATTCACTACAGTGCTACCTATACGGTTACAAATTTTGAGTTTATTTTTTGGCTCCTCATCATCCATTCTATCGACGACTTTCTTTGCCTCACCAGGCTCTTCACGGCCTCTCACAGTCTTATCACACGTACGTTCTCCCGGAAGAGCGTAAGGTCAGGGCTGTCCTTCGCGGAGTTCCCTAAGAACTCGCCAAAGATATCCTGGAGGACCTTAAGTCCCAAGGTTTCCCCGTCCAGGCTGTGCACAAGATGCACAGCAACAAAGGCAAGAGGTTCTCGTTTGCTTTTCTAGTTCAAGGCAGAGGACATATTCCGGCAGGTGCGTGGCCTGTCGAGAGTAAAGTTCGAGCCTCCACATAGGCGCGGTCATCCGGCGCAGTGCCACCGCTGCCAATTTTATGGTTTATGCGGTGGCCAACTGCTCCCCCCCCTCACCAGGTGCGTTAATACCTTGACCCGCACAGCCCGAAAGAGTGCCCTCGGCCCCGTGATGCTGAATCCCCACCCGCGTGCGTTCTCTGCCAACAGACTGGCCACCCTGCAAACTTCGGAGGCTGTCCTCGCGCTCCTCGTCCCCATCCTACCAAAGCTGCCAAGCCAGCTCCTCCACCGGTCAATACCAGCTCATTCCCGGCTCTCTCATACAAAATGCCCGTTGGGACTATTCTCAGCCCCCTCGGGGCCCCTATTGGCCCCCTCAGTGTCTCCCACCAAGGCCCCCACACCAGGCACAATCCTCATTGACTGATGACCTGAAAGCAATTTATTCTGTTATTCGGAGCATCAACATATGGAAGATTGCTATTCTAGCATGCAAACTGCGCGCTTCTAAGTCCCCTCTGAACCGACTCCTTGCTCTTGCCGAGCACCACAACCTTGTGTTCCTTATAATTTAGGCATCTCCTAATTCGTTAGTTGCCTTAGTTAGACCCGCTCTCAGCGGCTACTGGCCGCCTCCGCTTCCTTTCCTCAAGGGGAAATCATTGCATCGGGTCGCTTCCGTATTATTTATATGTAGTATTTATTGATAGATCAAATTCATAATATGCTAATGAAAAATAAAAATAAAATTGTAAAATATCGGTGCCATAGGCTTCTATACCGGTCACCTGTCTATTTTTTTCGAACGGTAAAAAAATCAAACAGTATATAAATATAAAAGATAAATATCGTTTAATTTTCTAATAAAAGGTATATGCCAATACAAATAGATTAGTTATATATTGCAGGAGCTTGCGAACTTAATGTTTTATTTTATTTATGGACTGTAAAGTATGTATATCTAGGTTGGAGATTTTTGCAGATAGTAAAACCGCAGAATCTAGGTATCCATTGTCTATATTAAACACCAACATCATATCTTACGTATATTCTCTAATAAAGTATGATACAGTAAGTATATTATAGTATATATACGTGTGAATGCTATAATTCAAATGCCTTGTAAACTTGAAGAATGAATTCTTTTAATTTGTTGTTTATGTGTTTTAATTTTTTTTAATTAAACACTTTTGTTGCAATTGATAGAATCAGGCGTTACTTTGCGGAAATCCATTATAATAAAAATATAAATTAATTTGCAACCTTCCGCTAGCTAAACAATGATGTGTCTTACCTGGATTGAAGAGCACCTCCCGCCCTCCCTCAATTGCATGCACTAACTCCGTCATCACTAGTCCCAACACCACTACTCCCAACACCACTACTCCCGGCACCACTACTTCCAACACCACTATTCTTCTTCACTTAGCGGTCTTCCGCCGTAGTCTACATCACCTGAGCATGCCTCGTGTAGAGGCGAAACACGTGTCGTATTATCGTCGATTGCGTGTCTTACCTAGAATAGTGGTGTTGGAAGTAGTGGTGCCGGGAGTAGCGGTGTTGGGAGTAGTGGTGCTGGGACTAGTGGTGACGGAGTTAGTGCATGCAATTGAGGGAGGCGGGAGGTGCTCTTTAATCCCTGTTGGCAATGTTGCCGATACCGTTGATTAGGCCTCGTTTCTTTCTCGCTGTTAAATGTTTGAGAGGAGCCAGCAGGATACTGTTGTAGTAGTGAAGTAGCTCCATTTCATGCGATACTTGTTCTAGAGTAGCTTTATAGTATCTCGAATCCGTTCTTTCACACAAGTCTGCCAACCCGTGCAGATAAGCATCAATTCGTTTTATATTGCTCCAATAGTTAGTTAAATTATAGTATAGAAGTCCAATTGTGTCGTAATAGATGGGCCGATTGTGTTCGATGCTTATAATCCGAGCGCTCGATAACATGCCCCTATATGTTTAAGTTATCAACGTAAACATTGCTACTAACATTATAAACAATGTTGAAAAAGTTTTCATGCCCGAGTTGTTTCTTTTTTCTCGTTTAGTTTTAATTTCTTGCTCGTTTTCCTTTTCGGGTTTTTTATATACCAGTGGGAGCGGTGACAGTGTAGTTATGGGGCGCTTTATTACACTAGTTTGCGTTTTTACAGTAGTAACGCGCACTAAGCCGTCGGAACCCGGGTGGACTTCCTGTATGCGGCCCAACGCCCATTTTCCCGGCGGCAGGTTGGTTTCCCGAACAAGGACAATATCTCCCCTTTCAATGTTCTTACTTGGCTTGTTCCACTTGCAGCGGCTTTGATGTTGAGTTAGGTGTTCGTTAGGCCAACTTTTCCAAAATTGTTGTAGCATGTTCTGACGAAACTTGACTTGACGTCACTGTAATCGGAAAGCGGGAGTGACAAAGTTGATCCGCCGATGAGGAAGTGGTCCGGTGTTAGATACTTGTAGAATTCCTCGGGATCCTCGGTAATAGGACACAAGGGTCGCGAGTTCATGCATGCTTCTATTTGGGCCAGCAGCGTTGAAAACTTCTCATAAGTGAGCTTTTGATCTCCCAAAACACGGCGAAGGTCGTATTTGTGTGATTTTACAGCCGCATCCTAGAGGCCACCTGTTTTCAGCCACGCGGGAGCGTTGAAGTGCTACTCCACTTCTAGTTTACTGATATCGTTGAAGAACTCTGGCGATAGGAGTTGCTCAAATTCTTCAAACACCCTACGCAACACTTTCGCGGTCCCGATAAAGTTAATGCCGTAGTCGGAGTATACATATTTGGGGGGTGTCGCGGCGTGCGCACATACGTTGAAATGTGGCTATAAAAGTTTCAGTGGTTAGGTCCGATACAAGTTCGATATATACGGCCTTTGTTGTCATACATAGGAAGAAGGCTATATAGCCCTTCGAAGTTTTGACCCCTCTCCTTTGGTAAGTTTGATCTCCACATGCCCAGAGAAGTCTACTCCGGTATGAGTAAGCGGTCGGAACGGGGTGGTTCTCTGCTGTGGTAAGTCGCTCATAAGTTGATAATTTTCAGTCGGCCTGTAACGATGACACCTGACGCAGTGACGTAGCTTGTCCTTGAACGCTCGGTTTCCGCCAACAATCCAATAGCGCTGCCGTATATATGATAAAGTTAATCGAGCGCCTCAATGCAGTGTGGTTAAATGCGCTTGTTCAATTAGTAGTTGCGTATACCGCCCATTGCGAGATAAGATGATTAGATTTTTCATCTCCATCGGTATAGTTGAGTTGTTGAGGCGACCTCCTACTCGCGTTATCCCTTTTTCATCTATATAAGGGTTAAGTTTGAAAATGGCGGCCTTGCTTGAAATTGTTTGTTTCTTTTGAAGTAGTTTGTATTCGTTTTCAAAGTCATTCCGCTGCACATGCTTTATTATAAGTTCATTGGTCGCGCGGAGGTCGGCTGCACTGAGGATATCGGTGTCCGCTTTCGCATTGTTGCATAACATTGTCGCGAAGCGCCGTACCCAGGCCATAATCCTTATCACACGTAACAATGAACTTCAATTATTTATTTATGAAGTTGTCTTCTTTCGCTAGGGTTGTCTCCATATTTTTTTTCTAATTTCAACGATAGTAGTGTTATAGTATAATAGTAGCAGGCTAAGTTTCTTGGTATCTCTTGTTGGTTGAATTTCCTTAGAAAATCAAGTCCTTTCCACCAAAGGTTGAAGTTGATTAGCTTGGACGGGTGGAGACCTCGGGAGGCACAGTCTGTAGGGTTGAGCTCCGATTTTATACTTCCAGTTTGCAGCGGGGATGGCTTGTTTGATCTTTGTCACCCGGTTCGCGACGTATTTTTCCCAGCGTGACACGTCTCCCTGCAGCCATGCAAGTACCACTTGCGGGTCGCTCCATGCTTGGACTGTCAAGTTATGCCATCTGAATGCTTCCTTAGTTTTCCCGACCAGTTGTGCTAGTAGTAATGCCCCGCAAAGCTCCAATCGTGGCAAAGTGGTTTTGTGTGCCAAAGGCGCAACTCTAGTTTTTGCAGCGAGTAAAGTTACAGTAGGCGGGCCGTTCACGTTTGTTATGCGGCTGCATATAACGCATGAGTAGGCTTTATCGCTTGCGTCACTGAAACCTAATAGTTCGATGTTATTTTGGGTCCCGCCTAGCCTTCTATTTAGTTTGATATTTTTAACCAGGGGTAGTTCAGCTCTCAGTTTCATCCATTCGCTTAGTATATAGTCTGGTAAGTTCTCGTCCCATTGTGGCTTGCTCACCCGTACTTGTTGAAATAGTAGTTTTGCTGTAACAGTGATCGGCGACAGCCAGCCCAGTGGGTCATAAAGCTTAGAGATACCGGACAATAGTTGCCTTTTAGTAGGTTGAGGTATCAGTTTTTTCTTTAAGTCCCAGCTGAAAGTGAAAGTATCACTTTGTAGATTCCATCCAAGGCCGAGCGTTTTCATTGGCTCTTCTTGTTTGAAGTCAAAATTATTTTTCGTAGAGATTTGACCCTCGGATAAGTTGTCTAGTAACGCCGGGTGATTTGCAGACCACTTGCTTACGTTCATACCATACGCGCAGTAGGTTTATAAGTGATGTTTGAAGTTGTTTAGCGGAATCGATCTGGTTATGACCGCTTACAAGGTCATCAACGTAGAACTGATTTTGAAGTATATGGGTCGCTTCGGGATGCTTGTGGCCGTCGTCTGTTGCGAATTGTTTGAGTGTGCGCATCGCTAGCCAGAGAGTGCACTTCATACCATAGGTAAATGTGCATAGTTGGAATGATTGTAGTTCCTCAGCTGCAGAGTGGCGCCATATTATTTTTTGTAATTTTTGCTGATCTTCAGTAATCCATATACAGCGGTACATTTTATCAATATCCTCAGTGTAGGCATACATATTTTAATATGAGGGCTTGTATGTCCCTTTGTAAATTGGGACCCTTTTCTTGCAATTGGTTGAAACTGTAGCCGCTTGCAGTTTTTTGTGAGTCTTTAAAAATAACCCTCAGTTTAGTCGTAGTTGAATGTTCCCGCAGTACTCCCTGGTGAAGTAGGTAACATTCTTTTTCCAGTGACGATGACGTCAACGACGGTTTCATATGTCCCAGGTCGATGTATTCACGAATGAAATCGTAATACATAGTAGCGAGCTTCTTGTTTCTTTGAAATCGTTTCTCGACTTGTAGGTACTGAGAGATGGCGACAGGCTGAGTTTTTCCTAATTTTTCGTCGTAATCTCAACGATGTATTTTCCGTCTGGAGCGCGTTTCAGTGTTTCCTTGTAATGGTTTTCGCAATAGTTGTCCTGGGGCATGTCCTTGTTGTCTTAAGTGATATCCTCGTGCTCCTAGTATTTAGTCATCTCATTGAGATCGACGAAGGTGACGTGACAGTTGAAAGTTTTCATCTTACCACAGAGTATCCACCCTAAGTGTGTTTGTTGTGCAATAGGGGATTGTTTTTCTCCTTTAAGAACTCCATCCAGTATGATGTAGCAGTACTTCGGCCCCAAGAAGCAGGTCCACGGGTCGCGACACGTCGTACTCCGGATCGGCCAGTTTTAAGTTTTCTAATTGAGGTCAGTTAGCCGCTTCGAATGTTGAGTTGGGTAATTTATTTATAAGTTTTCTCATGATTAGTGTTTGCATCTCATACGAGTAATCAGAGTGGATAGACTTGCAGGTAAGTTGTAGGCTTCCTTTACAGTCACCCGATGCAGTTCCAACCCCAGAAACCATAGCAGTAAGTCGTTTTCTGGGTAGCTTAAGCAGTTAGGCGGCGCTCTCCGTTATCAGGTTCACTTGCGAGCCATGATTGAGTAGGGCTCGAAGTTTGACGTAGTTGCCATTGGCAGTTAGCACGTGCAGCTGTACGGTAGAAAGTAGGATCTCGATGTTGTCGTTAGTTAAGTGGTTGCAGTTAAGTTGAGTTGAAGTTGATGGGCGAGAAATGTCGTTGTTCCTCACGCCGTTAGTATTTGCAGCAGTTGTAGGCGCATTTTTTGTATAGTTGTGCAACAGAGTGTGGTGTCTCTTATTGCATTCTTTGCAAGTTTTAGTAGATGCACACTTAGCATTTCCGTGGCTATACAGGCAGTTTTCGCATACATGTAGTTTCGCAACTGTATTATTACGTTGTATAGCATTCATGTCAATGAACTCGGGGCATTGACACGTGACCTCCTTTGCAGATAGGACATTGCCTAATAGTGGAAGTAGTAAAATAAGTTTTGTTGTAAGCCTTTTTAGTTTCGTAGAAATGTTTTTTAGTGGGAGAGTTCTTCTAGAGACTTGCTTTTTGTTGCCCTTGTTTCTATACGTTAGGTATTTCTTTCTTCAAAATTTTCATAGCTTCGTATGCCATAAACTTGCTTTCAAAAAAGAAGAGAAAGTCGTTTAAGTTAGAAAGCTCTCTGTGGTCTTGTTGATCTCTCATGTAGTCCGCGTACGTTGAAGTATCCAATTTCTGCGACATCAGATGGACGATGAGTGGGTCCCAAGTGGATGTTTCGATACCGATGTTAGCGAGCCCGTTCAGGCATTCAGTTCAAAGAGACGTCATGCATCTTTTTTAAGTTGTAGTTGTTAGGCTGTTGTATTACAGGTAAGTTGAGCATGGTGTTGACGAAAGATGTAACCTGAAGACGCCGACTTTCGTAGCGCTGGGTGAGTATCTCCCAGCATGTGTCATAGTGTTTAGCGCCGATGCTGAGATCTTGTACTAGGCGCTCAGTTTCTCCTCTCAACTTTGTCTTCAGATATTGCATCTTTTGTGCCTTGTTTATCGTAGGATTGTTATGAATTGCTTCCAAAACAGATCTTTGAAAGAAATCTATTGCATGTAGCTGCCGTGAATTCGGGAACTTCTATTTTCGGTGCAGATTTTTCATAGTGATTATTCGACCAAATTTTTGTGTTAAGTTGACGTCGTAGCTCATCGTATTTCCCTCCATAGTAATAAACAAGTTATAGTATTGAAGATTGGAGCCTTTGAGTTTTGCTTCCTTCTTTTGTTCTTTTTTCTTCGTTTTGCTGACTTCAAAATCGATAGATTGTCTTGTAGTTCCCATCTCTCAGTTATAGATTGAATGTCGATTTTAGACATGATGCGATCGAGAACTTTAAAGTTGCAATCTAGTTGCTCTAAGAGCGTTTTGACGCTTGCGTCCGTGGTGCCGTCCAGCATCCCGATCAAATCGAAATGTACAGACTTGCTTTTGCGTACTTGTAGCAGTTAGTGATGCAAACTTTGTAAAATAGTTTCATAAAGCTCTTTAGTTTTGGTAAAAACGATCCCTGTGAAGTAGTCGATGTTTTTATCTTTCCGTTTTTATGTTTCCACAATAATTTTGTGGCGCTGTTCAAAATCGAT